TGGGACATCATGTTTAGAAAATAAACGTCTCAGTTTCTCCGAAACACCCGCAAACTGAAACGAGACACTGAGAAACTGAGACGTTTATTTTCAAGGGAATAAATCCACTGTACATGAAGATGTTTAAAACAGTCCTTGAAGTCCACACTCAGCAGCCTGCTCTGACCAGAAGCGCAAGCCACAAACTGCCTGTTGTCTTCAGCATCATATGTAAGCTCAGCTACAGATCCTCCTGGCCAGAAACAAGACTCCTGCCTGCAGAATACAGTATATGATTTGATGAGTGGAAGGTAGGGTTGAGATGCAGATGTCCTGCTGAGGTCCTCAGGAGCTGAACCCACGCTGCTGCGTCTCCCACATGACCTGCGTGATGCTCCATCAGCTGGTAGATGATGATTGTCAAAAACTAGCTGCATAGCATAAAGATAAAATGTCATATTGTGCAAAGCCAGAGCTGAAAAATACTAATACACAGGCTTGTCATGTTGCTGAAATCTTAAAATGGTTCTGAATTCCAGTCTTGGTGACCCACTACCCTGCATGTTTTAAATGTTTCCCTGCTCTTCAGCAGCTCTTTAAGTTCTGCAGAAGCCTGTCAATCACTCATTCATTTAAATCATGTGTTCCAAAGCAGGGAAACACCTAAAACATGCAGGATAGTGGGTCAGGAGGACCGGAATTCAGAACCATTGCACAGCTTCATTGTTGTGTTAGCTTGATAGCTATGTATAACTTATAGAAAGAGTGCAACATAATTTACATGTAACGTTATGACAAAAGGAGCACTTGTGCAGATAAAGTATGGGCAAGACATGATAGTTAAAATATARTGTTGATGGTTTGTTCTTACCTGTGACGGCAGCTTAGTTCTGAGCTCTGTGTGTTAAGGTGTGGCTCACCTCCTGTTCACAAGCGTGCGCGCTCCCAACTCTGGGCCCTGCTGTGGGGGAGGAGCTTAGGAAGGGGAGCTGAGAGCAGGGGGGAAGGACTACAAGGTTGTATCTGTTAAATTTTTTTCTAAGTTTTTGGGTTTTCAAGAAACTACATACAGCAGCTTTAAATCTGGGTTTTTTTAAATTTAGCTACATATTTTAACCAACTTATAAATTTGTTATCTTTACTATATTTGTATATAAGTGTATGCTATTATCAGAATTTGTTTGTTTAAAAACAGATTTCAAGCTAACCTATCACTTTAAATTTGCCATTTGGTTAAATATAAATAGGCGCAAATAAATTCATGGAGTAAAAAAAAGTCTGATTTTTTTCAACAAAACAAACAAAAATATTTAATATTAACAAAAAATCATCAAACAAAGTGGCTTTTATTTAAAAAAATAAGAATTGTATAATTGATTATTATTTTTAGAGTAATACAGTATGTCCTAAAATATATAATTAAACATGCAGGAAATAAACCTAGCCATGACACTTGCCTTATAGATCCTTTATATATATATATAT